TATTTCTTATTGAATATATATATATATATATATATATATATATATATATATATATATATATATATATATAATTTATTTCAACCTGCATTTAGGGCCTGGCCAGGCAGAGGATCTTGTTCGGCACTCTGGTTCTGGACCTCGGGGTAGATAGATTTGTATCCCTTTTCTCATTGGTCTGAACCTCCTGACAGTTGCTCACATATCAGTGCTACTAAGGCAATGATGCATTTATGTGACTTATAATTTTTCTCTATTCATATTTCACTATGTTTATGACTTTTCCTATTGTTAAATGCCGTCTTCTATTTCACCATGGAGAAATGAGACAGATTTGTCTATTCTTGGTTACAGTTTATTCTTAAGAAAATATTGCATAGAGCTTTTGTAGGTTATTGTTCCTTATATAACTTGCAAAAAGATATTTTCTAAGACTATTATTCACTGTTCGGATATTACTGATAATGGCCTATGTAGATTCTGTACATGTCCTTGTTAGTGTTACTTTTGTCAAATTGGATTAGCCTACATTAAATTCTGGGCATTCAGATTTGTGTTTTCTGCCTGAAATTAGGTGTGGTTGCATCTAGTCTGTTTTATTTTCTCATATTTCTAACATACAAGGACTTGGGAAGTCCTTGTATATTAGCTGTATAAGCTTATAAGTAGAAGGCTTCAAAGGTGTGGTTGCATCTAGTCTGTATTAGCTGTATAAGGCTTCAAAGGTTATATTAGCTGTATAAGCTTGTAAGTATCAGCTCATTGGTCCACACCACTTCCTGATTGCCAATGCTTTATAAAAGTGATCTTTTATTGTACATGTATTAATATTGATAATCCCTCCTGAAAAAATGTTACAAAAGTCTGCTTTGTGTACCATACCTATCATTCATGTTCTCTTCAACTGAAGCTTGTAGTCTATGTTGACAGTCTGAATTCAGCTTTATGGAGTTGATGGTGCCAATTGCCTGGAGCCCTGTACCCGGGAGACTGTAATAGCAGATGAAAATATTAACTATTTGACAATAAGGTTAACATAAATCGTTGTGTAGAAGATAAAACAAAAGTTGTTAATGTAGATTAAGTCATATAGTAAATTTTCTCTGGATGCTTCACAGGGCTATATTCTATGTATCTGCCAATTTGAGTGATATAAGTTGCTACTTGGGAAGCAGATCTGTTCCTCACAAGACCATATTCTTTACACCTTTCGTCTGTCAAGATTTCAATGATTACATCCACTTTCAGTTAAACTACATTCACTGGTTTAGTATTTTTTAACTTGCACATGTGGCATGTGTTCATCATGTCTCCTATCTTATGTGCTTGCAGTTAACAATCTGGTTCCAATTCTTTGGGAGGAAGTTTGCCATCAGATCTAGGTCAAGGGTCTCTTGTAAACTTGTGAGTTGATTTTTCATATTCATTTATAAAGATAAATTGAGTCTTTTGCTTCCACTCAAATCCTTTTATCTGTGAAAGTTTAACTGGCTTTTGATATCTTTATATTGTCTATGGGGATAGTTTTTTTTTTTTTTTTTTTCTTGCTGGAGTCAAAAAAAGAAAATAATGATGATGTCTCAAGATTTGTATGATAGATTTACGGTTCATTTTCTCCTAATTTATCACTAAACTGTGTTTCTATTCTATTCAGGATCTGTCGTAGTGTTTGATAGCTTAGGTAAAAGTAGTAGTGTACCTTGATAGATATGCTCTCCAAGTAACTTTTAAATCGTCATTAGCGATCTTTAGCAGTTCTAAAGCCCTTTTTTTATTATTGTGATCATGACTTCTCCATCAGTTCTGTTCTCCTCATCTGCTAACTTCGTAAATATGATGGGATATCTAATCTGCTAACTTAAATACACACTAATTTGCCCACAAGTCTTAACCCCACTTCGCTAATGTGTCTAAATTAGTGTGTATCTCTTAGAAACTATGAGACAAATACTTATTACGACATTAAAAAAAATGCATAAGCTGTGCTAGGATGATTTAGTGCGTGAATTAGATTAACAAATTGAATTTTTGAACTGCTTGTAGTTGGTCCTTTATACTGACTTCTCTCCCTTCACCTTCACAAATTTGGTTGCTAATATTTGTCTTCTGCAACAACAAAGGTAGCCAGAAAGCCAATTCTGGTTAGTGATGTGGGCCGAAAATAAGAAGAATCTAAAGCATAGGCAGAGATAGAAAAGGATACACTGACAAGCTCTTGATGAACTTGCTCGTGTACATGGTGGAATCAGAGAATAAGTTATCCTTCTATGCACCTCCTTTTGCTCGTGTGGCTCTTAGAATGTTCTTTCTTGTAGTATCTATCATCAATGCATGCCTGCCTGTTCTCATTTCATGTTTAGGAACCATAACTTATTTATTATTATTATTATTATTTTTGAAGAGTAATATGTGAAAAATCCATGACTTGGGCGTGTTTAATTAGGTTTATGTTGGCCATGGCGGATCATGATCACAGCCCTTACCAATGCCATGTCAATTGGGTGTCGATAAGTAGACCAACAACACGTTTACTGCACGTGCGTATACAAACATCATGGTTTTTTTTTGTTTCAAGAACAAGGGTGTTGAGGTCATTTAGGATTTCCTCTCTCCAAACACCCCTCCCCTCCCTAGGGCTCCTCCTCGACCTTCGATATAGACCCTCGTCCCGTTTCTTTCTTCTTTTGCCTCCGCCGCCGGCCACGATGAAGTACAACCCGCGTGTCTCAAGCTCCCGGCGGAAATGCCGAAAGGCGCACTTCACTGCGCCATCGAGCGTCCGGCGCGTGCTGATGAGCGCGCCCCTCTCGGCTGACCTCCGCAACAAGTACAACGTGCGGTCGGCCCGGTGCGCAAGGACGACGAGGTCCAGGTGGTGCGGGGCACCTACAAGGGCCGGGAGGGCAAGGTCGTGCAGTTGTACCGCAGGAAGTGGGTCGTCCACGTCGAGCGCATCATCCGGGAGAAGGTGAACGGCGCCACCGTCAACGTCGGCATCAACCCCTCCAAGGTCGTCGTCACCAAGCTTAAGCTTGACAAGGACCGCAAGGACCTTCTCGACCGCAAGGCCCGCGGCAGCGCGGCCGACAAGGCCAAGGGCAAGTTCTCGGCCGAGGAGGTCGCCGCCGCCGCCGCCGCTGCGCCATCGCTCCAAGAGATCGACTGATCTCATCGATCCGATCAAGGATCGGCCCGATCGGTTCGTCCCTCTTCACCCACCTACTAGATTTATGTCGTTATGCACTAGCGTTGCTTTTCTGATATCGATGAGATGTTCTTGATGTTGAGATCTCGAAAAGAAGTTCTTGAACTTTTTCTTCGTAGATTTAATTTCGTACGTTCTCGAGTCTTTCTCGGTAGACAAGTGGGTATGATGTTTCTTCTCTTTTATGTTCTATGTGCTTGTTTTTCCCTTCTTAGATTCTTGATTCCTATTTTCTGATATCGATGAGATGTTGAAATCTTGAAAAGAAGTTCTTGAACTTTTTCTTCGTAGATTTAATTTCGTACGTTCTCGAGTCTTTCTAGGTAGACAAATGGGTGTGATGTTTCTTCTCTTTTATGTTCTCTGTGCTTGTTTCTTCCCTTCTTAGGTTCTTCTTGGTTCCTATTTTTATGATTACGGAAGTTCTTCATAAGGCTGTCTAAGTTTATTCTTGACCGTTTATTAAACGTATTAGGGATTAGTATATTTTGGTTGAAATTAATTGATATGCAGATAGTATCTCGTGAAGCCTAGAGCCTCCTATCAGAGAAGTGCTTTGACCCAATAAATTATGTTGAGAGTAGTATAGTCTTTGCTTTATCTTCTGATCGGTAGTCATCGGGTATGGGCTTTGTTGAATTCCGATGTTTAGTCGTTGCTGTTTCTTCAGATTTTGTTGGGCTGCTCTTAGAATTGGTCGGTCATGTTGGGAGGATACTAGATACTTAATTCCTCACCTACTCGTGTTGCATTTTTCAGGATGGTAAAAGAATGAACACATAGTCTTTCTTGAAATCTTGAGTCTGGCAGAATAGTGCTTTGTCCCAAGAAATTATCTTGAGAGAGAGTTATTCTTGAAGTTTTGTTTTGGCTATATCTTTAGACCGGTCATCGTGTGTCGTTTGGTCATAATGTTGGGAGGTTACTGGATACTTGTCGAATTCTTATTGCTAGTTGTGCTGTACGTTTTAGATTGTTCGATGGCATAAGCAGATAGTCTGTCTTGAAGTCCAGAGCCTGTCAGGGTAGTGCTTCGACCGAAGAAATGGTGTTGGGAGTGGTCTTTCGTGATGTTTAGTTTCAGCTTTTTTGTTGAATTCTGATGTTGAGTCGTTACCAATTGTTCAGATTTTGTTGGTGTTGTTTTTTTTTTTATGTTGGTCATAATGGGTAGATGTTATTAGCAGCGATTTAAAAAGGCGCTCGGGCGCTCGCCTAGGCGCTCGGGCAAGGCGAGGCGAGACCCGAGCGCCTCGCTAATCTCCCAAGCGGCGCGCTTCAAACAGGCACCGCCTGGGCGCTCGCTCGAGCCCAGGCGCTGGGCGCTTCGGGCGAGCGCCTGGGTTAACCAAGGCGATCGAACCAGGATTTTAGCTCTGGTTCGGTCTTCGATGGTTAGTTGATTCAATCGAACTAACTAAAACTGCTATAAGTGACAACGGAACCCTAACCCACGTCGTTGTCGCTTTCGATCTCAATCCCGCTGGTCGTCGTTGTCGCTGCTTGCAAACGCTGCCGCTATTTATTTGAAATTATTAATTTTCAATACTGTTAATAGATTTTCTTAATTTAATAGTATATTTTAATTTAAAATTTTAAATAATTATATTTATTAATTATTTTATATATTTTTTATATTTTAGCGTCTTGCTTCTCTCGGACAAATGCCTACATACTCATCTTTTCTTCAGATTTTGTCAGGTTGTTTTCATATTGGTCGTAATGGGAGATACTCATCAAATTCTTGTTCTTTAGTTGTGCTGTATTTTTTATTTTTTAAGATTGTTAAAAAGAAATAAGCGTTGTTGCTGTTTCTGCAAATTTGGATGGGTTGATTTTTAGTTTGGGCATATTGGGAGGTTACTAGATATCAAATTCTTTTTCTTAATCGTGCTATATTTTCCAGATTGGGAAGTAAAATAAGCAAATAGTCTTTCTTGAAGTCTAGTAGTGCTTCGACCCATGAAAATAGTCTTTGTTGATGTTTAGTTTCCAACTTTACCCTCGGATTTGATGTAATCATGGGAAATTGTAATGCTGTTGTATTCTGGATTGGTGATAATGGTTGGGTGGAGGCTGATTATTTGATGATTTTTTTTTTCTCTCTTTAGAGTTGGTTGCATGAAGTAGCCTCCGTATGTGACGGGCTAACTAGACTAATTATGATTGTGTTTGGATTACGATCAATTATCTTGAGCGGGATAATGATTTTATCAAAACATATTTGTCAAGTCAAGTTTTTGGTTAAAATCAAAATAATTTTTAATAAATTTATTAATTTTTTATTAAAAATTATTATAATTTTAATCCTACGTTTTATTCATTAATTCTATTTGAGATTGGTTTAGTTTTTATTATTGAATCTTAATTACATTAATTAGATGGACGTTGTTTATTTCAATATTATTATTATTGAAATAAGTGAACTTGTATTAAATTTTGTAGTGAGTAAAGTTTAGCAATTATGATTTATATCCGGTATCATTTTTCTGAATATGTCGTGCTTTGCGAACAAATGAGAGAATGTTCGAGTGGCACCCCCGCATTGTCATTTTCATAAAGTGGTAGAATAAGTTGAACAATCGATTGTTGTGCCCCAAAATATTTTTGCATTAATAAGCCGTTATTCCCTCAACCTTATTGTCAGTAAGACGCGCCTCCTTGCAGTAAAGAAAGTATTCTAATCATACGCAACATTGTTTAATCGATTACATCTTAGAAAACAAGAACCCACATTTTAAAAATGAGTCCTTCAAAATTTCTTAATTTTTCAAGACCTTTTCAAATCCCTGAAATACATTTTGACATAATTTTTTTCTAAAATATTATAAATTTATTTAAAAACATTATAACTATAAAAATAAAATAAACTCGAAATGTTCAAAAACTGAGACACACAAAAGATAAAAGAAACCCACTTATACTTTTATCATCGATTCATACGGATCAATCCAAAACTGATCCACTCTATGGATCGGTCCACTAGATAGAAGTGATCTATTGTTGTGCCGTGTCAGGATGATGGCACAGTTTGAGAAATATAAAAGAGGGAAAATAAAAGAAAAAATAATTCTTGCAATTCGCCCAACATGCATCCTGAATTACACTGCAATGGAGATTACAGAAGGCAAGAAGACAATTGCAATCCTATAGAAAACGTGGCCTGACTAGGTCACGTATCAGCAAATCATGTAAAAAGAACCTAATTCAAATGATTAGAAGCAACAACAACAACATACTGGAACAATCCAAATTCATACTGCAGTCCTCTCTCCCTACAAATCGATGAAATGGTTCTTCTATATCACTAAATATGCAGTCATGCATGTGAAACTTTGATTCTACCGTGTGACTAATTGAATATCCGCCACTATCTTTACCCTGGAGGGAAGTAGCGCATGCTATGAAGCATTACAATGTGCATACTATAACTGGAACAAGAGCAAGATACAGGGTCCAAATGGAAGAATCATAGATGATCAATAAGCAAAAGTGTCTTTCCAAAACAGTGCACGTTGATGTCAACCAAGATGTATCAGTCGTATGCACTTCGCTACGTGAGAGCAGAACTAAGAGTGCCAAAAAAACCAAGGCTAAGAAAACTTCATCCTAGATGGTAATGTTGATGACGTTAAAAGATCCTTTCAGCCAAACCAAATATAGTCCTATAGACTAAACAAGCATGAAATAAATAAATAAAATTAGAACCAGTTTTAATATATAAGAACCGATAATCAATTGGAGTTTTTGAAATCTCATAATTGCAAAAAAAAAAAAAGGAAATTCAAACTTATACGTTGATAAGTGAACACTAAAGAAAGTTCTTTATTGGATTTCTGTACCTACTTAAATTTCGTCGAGTATAATTGTTTCTTGAATTATTAGGCATTGAATTTTTTTTTTCCGCACATGAATTCTGGAAACTAAAATGTCACTGTTGTTCTTTTGAAGCCCATTAAAAGAACTCAGCTCCAACAAAGCCATTAAATGCTTATTTGACCGATCGAATTCATAAATAAAAAAAGGCTAACAACTAATAAAACTGAAGTTGCAGGTTTCTTGCTAAAAGACATCGAAATTACCTCGACATGAGAAATTGAGAATAATTTTCTTCATCTGAAATAAATAAACCATTGTCGTCTTCATCTCAGCCGACTCTCCGTAGTCCTTCGAGAACCTTCCTACAAAACAGAGTTCGAGCATCACATTATCAGGCTCAACAAACTACCAACTTGAAAGGATTCGATTCGAGTCGGATGAAAACAAATTGCATCACGTTCTCTTCTCAAAAAGAAAATAAATCAAAATAGATCACGTCACCACGCGAACACATTAAGATCAATTGAAGAAAGAAAGACGAGAACGATAAGATCAGAGTAAGAAAGCGGATGAGAGAGATGAAAGCAACATAACAACTCCAGCGAGAATGAAATCATTTCCGACCAAGTCATCTTTCAACCGAATCACTAGAGGACTCCAAAAGCCCCTTCAAGAACCTTCTTACGAAACCAAATTTCAGTGTCTCGAAGCAAATGATGCAATCACCACGGATTCAGAAACTATGAACACAACACAAAGATTCAACTGAGATGAAACCAAATTCTTCCCACACGCTCGAGAAACTCGAACAAACTTCAAACAGAAACCCACCAACGACGTCGCAAGAGAAGAGGGGGAAGATCGAGGGAAAGAAGGCGACCTAACAAATTGAGCGAGAAAGAAATCGATTCCAACCTGAGGAGGGCCTCCAAGAAGGGGTCACGGAGATGGTAGAGGAGCGAGCGAGCGAGCGAACGAGCGAAGAGCTCTGCCATCACTAGAGAGCAATACGGAGCGGGTCTGGTTCCGGAACCTTCTCTTTTGGGTCGGCTTTCGATTCTTCGCCTGGAAGTGGTAAGGGATGGAACATAGGGGCTTCAAAGATCGTGCAAGAGAAACAGAAGCAAAACAAAGGAGCGGATCAAGAAGAGAGAGACGTCTCGCATCACAAAGAAAGAACGCGAAACAGATCACATCACCACGCGGAACAGATTGAGATTAAGATTCAGAATTCTTGGCAATTCAAGAAAGAAAGAAAGAAATCCATTAGAAAACATCACGAGACAAGAAGGATAAGATCAATCGAAAAAAAAAAAGCCGAAGAGAGAGATGAAAGCGAGACAACAACTCCAGCGAGGAAGAAATCACTTCCGATCAGGTCATATTTCAGCCGAACCTCCACAAGGCTACGGGAACCCCTTCAAGAACTCTCCTCCTACGAATCCAAATCCGAGTATCTCAGAGTAAACGATGCAATCACCGCGAATTTAGATAGAGACCACGAACACAACATAAAGAATCAGCTGAGATGAAACCGAACGCTTCCCTCGCGCTCAAGAAACTCGAGCAGACTTCAGAAAGAAACCCATCAAAGACATAGTAAGAGAAGAGGGAGAAGATCAAGAAAAAGAAGCGACCTAACGAGGACGAAATCGCTTCCTACCTCAGGAGGACATCCAAGAAGGGATGACGGAGACGGTAGCGGAGCGAGCGAAGAGCGCTGCCACCACTTCGAAGCAACGGAACTGGTTTGGTTCTTGAACCTTCTGTTTAACCAGCACGGCTATCGAGATGGAACATCTGGGCTTTAAATATCGTGCAGGAGAAATAGAAGCAAAACAAACAAACGTGCTATCGCCTCTTCCAATCATAAAGAGTTCTGTTGGGACCCACAACTCCGCGGCAGCTGCGTGATCCACCCCGTTTATAGGCAGGGAATGGTGTTGCCTCACGGTCGCCGACAGGTGATCGCCACCCTACACCATTTTATTACTAAAATATTCATAATTTAACTATAAAAAAATCCAACAAAACACTTGTGATTATATGAAAAGATAATTTTATCTATAAAAATTTTTAAAATTATATTTTTTTAAACCCATCATCATGTTCGTCTTATATCGTCACTTATCTTTATACTATGATCATAACCATCGTCGTCTTTGCTGACCCTACTCTTGCATATATCACTTATGATCCTTGTGCGAGGAATGAGAGGGCATGAGTGTTGTCACTGTCCTGGTCCCCCCCGCCTCCCTATACTTGGTCACCCTACGTTTGGTTTTCGTTAGAATCGCTATCATCCCCCTCCCCTCCCTATACTTGGTCACCCTCCGTTTGGCTCTCGTTAGATTCGCTAACCTCTGTGCACATAAGAGTAGTGCATGAGCAACCAATGAGGCAATGCAGGATGGAGTCAACTTGTCGACATGGCTAAAGGTAAAATAATTTTTTATGAAAAATAAAAATTGTTTTAAGAAATTTTGTCTATGTTGAGATGCTCTCCAATAAATTCTTAAATTAGTGAGTTTTTTCAAAAAAATATCATATATATATATATATATATATATATATATATATATATATATATATATATATATATATATATAATGCAAAAGATGTTGTTAAATCGTGGATCAATTCCAGTACATATTATCTTATTCATATAAATCAATCTGTAATATATCTCTATATTTTTCGATATATCCATGTCCTTTGCTTCACACACCCAAGATGGAGTAACGCATTCCAATACAAAAAGGACGTGGCCACATAGTAAATACTATCTCCAGAATCTTCATTCACGAGCTCAACCTGAGAGAATCATGGCTACTGTGGCAGCTGTTGGCAGGACTCAGTACCAGCCATCCAAGTTGGTGTACTGCTGCTACGCTACAGTGAACCATTGCTTGGTACTCCCATGAATCAATGCTCTCCTGCTGCAGCTTTCAGCATCACATGATGATGACAAGCATTAGGCAGCAGTGTTCTTCACAAAAGAGAAGACCTAATTGTTCCATAACCAAGTGACTGACATCATATTACCATGGAGTAGAAAAACAACACCACTGATTGCTCCTTTGGAATCCTCCTCTATCACAGTGATGAGAGAGAGAGAGAGAGATGGTTGTTGGTGGGAGGAGGACATGCGAATCCAAGACAGAGTAAATGCAACACCATCATCCCTGACCTGCAAAGTTACTGACCTCATCTTTCACTTGGATGATAGGATGCAACATTCTTAAATGCTGTCAGTTCCTACAGAATGGAACAGACAAAATGACTGTCCTGCAAGCAGCCTTTAAAGAATCAGCTTACAGCAAATGGGTTCACTTCTCAAACACTTTTTCTCATTCCTCCACATGATCAGTGTGGTCCAAATTCTCACCCTCCATCTACTCTCTGCTTTGGACTCTTTGCTTTACAGATCAAGCACAGTTGCCGATCATGATTAGCTAACCCATTAATTATTGTGTTGGCAAAACCTTCTCTCAACCTAAACAAAAGCTTATGGTATGTGCTAGCTGTTGCACCAAATGTCATCATCCACCACCACAAGCAATCCGTATGAAGTTTTGCTGTAATCAAACACAAACACTAATAGTAGGAAACATACAAATGAAGTATCAGATCAAAGTGAAAAGAAATTGAGTTACTCTTTTCATAGGTTGCCTTTATGTATTAACACTCCGAATTATGGGAATCACCAGTCATATATACACATAACTTGTTCTATTAAAAGGAAGATAATGTTCATACTCCATACTGCACAAGAATTACACATTTAACAACATGCAGATAAAAGTGGAACACCACAAGAACTCGTCTTTGATCATCGATCGGAAGGGAAACCATAGAGACCCTCAAATTAGGAGACTAATGGTTTACCATTCTCGCCATTTTAGATGTGCCTGCAGCCACATTGGCACCTCTCCTTCAACGACCACAGCTTCAGCTAAAAGAAGGTGACAGAGATGACGATACCTCTACAAGATCTTCGATTGTCAGGCGTTGCTTAGCTTTGTTAACCTCTCCAACGAGTCCGCGACATGCCTCGATGAGGGTCGGCTTTCCGGATTGAACTGGACGCAAGCTAATGCTATTTTCAGCACGGCGGTAACCTCATCTTCTCTCTCTAGTTCTCGGGTTAGACAAGGGTCGACGACATCCAATAGGGTCTTCTTCTCTTCGATAGAGATCTGAACCCAGCGAACCAAATCCATGTCCGAAGTTTCCATCAGAGCAACCGGGGATCTTCCACAAATTAATTCTAGTAGGATCACCCCGTACGAATATATATCCCATTTTTGCGATGGTCTGAGAGATTTTAAGGCTTCGGGAGCTTGATAGAACAATGCATTGCTCCAGACAGGACTAACTGAAACATTGGAGATTGGGCTCTGTTGCTTCTCAGTAGCCTTTCCATCCGAATAGATCGACGGTGTTCCCGTTTCCATATTGGCCAGATGCCCGAGTCCAAAGTCAGATATGTATGGTTCCGTGTCGGGTCCGAGGAGTATGTTGCTCGGTTTAATATCGCCATGGACATACTTCTTTGGGCTGAACTCATGCAAGAAGGCTAAACCTTTGGCAACCCCCTTCATGATCTTAAGTCTAGCATCCCATGACAATGGTGAAATTCCAGCATTCCCTGAGATCAGATGCATGTCAGCAATTGACCATTAGCTGCTCAAGGAAAAAATAAGCTGTGGATTGCAGTGATCATGTCTTAGTCCAATCATTTGAATCAAGCAACAGAGCCACCAAAATCAACATGCATAGGCAAATTCATTCTCTACTCAATTAGATCATCAACTTGAAACATGAAGAGTTTGAAAACAGTCATGGATCGAAAATAGCTATGGATGATTGTTAAACATGAAACACACAAACAAGTAGAATTGTCTTTGCAGCTTTCGCGAATCTTCGGAATCAGAGTCGTATTGGCAAAACTAGCAGTTTATGAATTGCAAGAAAAAAAGACCACCACAGTTCACAAGCTAATGATGCATTGCAATCTAGCAATTAAAAGCTCAGTGATTACCATGAATTGCATTGGAGAGATTGCCATTAGGAATGTAATCGTATATAAGAAGTTTCTCATCGACCGACCAGTAATAAGCTCTTAGAAGAACAATATTAGGATGCCTCACTTTTCCGATAGCTTCCACCTCTGTTTGGAAATCTTTGAACCGCTGCGACCCGCCGTCGCCTAACCTTCTCACGGCCAGCGTCAGGCCATTCTCCAACACCACCTTGTAGACGATCCCGATCCCACTCTTCCCCAACACAAAGGCAGAGCCCTTCAGAAGCTCATCCAAGTCGAAATGGACCTGCTTATCCAATGGTATCAGGTCAAATTGCTCAGCATCCTCTGCCGGGCTCTCGGTTCCATCTTTACCCCAACACAGATACTTCTTCCCACCCTTGGCATCTCTGCTCGAGTTCTCGGCCTCTGCCTTGCTCTTATAAGAAACCGCTCTCCTGTAACAGCAGAAGAATAACATTGCCATAAGACCAATCGCAACCACATCGCTCACAACGATAGCGATCACCGCATTTTTACTCGGACCATTTCTGCTCTTGCTACTGTCAACTTCGGAAGCCTGAGGTGAATGATCACTCGGCAGAGACGGAACCGTGGATGCACCGCCGGATGCTGTACCCGACGAAGAACAGGGGTTCTTCAATGGCGGACCACAAAGTCCGGGGTTTCCGATAAATGCAGTTGGCCCTCTGTTCACTAGAGCTCCGTTCTGAGGTATGGAACCACTCAGGTTGTTGAATGCAAGATCGATGTAGACCCTTTCCGGCAAGTCCCCAAGACTCGCCGGAACAGGACCGGAGAAAAGGTTGTGTGAGAGATCGACCGTGCCCCGAAGGCTAGAAAGATTGCCGAGATCACTAGGAATCGAACCATTCAGTCCGTTGTACGAAAGACTGAGCTTCTCCAAGGCGGTCAGATTGGTGCCGAAACCAACCGGAAGGGAGCTCGTCAAGTTGTTGTGGCTCAGATCAAGAGCCTTCAACCTCTTACAGCGGAGTATAGAGGCAGGGATTGCCCCACTGAGCAAGTTCTGTGAAAGGTCTAGATTTTGAAGGAAAGAGAGATTGCCAACCTCCGGAGGAATAGGACCAGAGAAGGAGTTCCCATAAAGAACCAAGCTTTGGAGTCCGCCGGCAGCGGCGAAGAGTCCGGAAGGCAGGCTCCCCTGAAGCCTGTTGCTCCTGAGGTTGATGTGCCTGAGAGAAGAGAGGGAGCCGAGAGAAGAAGGAAGAGAACCCAAAAGCCTGTTCTTTGGGAGGCTAATCGAGACGACCTTCCCTTCTTTACAAGAGATCCCATTCCAAGAGCACGGGTCGTCACCGGAGGAGTTCCAGTTTGCCAGGGAAGCACCCGGATCCTCTTGCATGCTTGCCTTGAAAGAAAGAAGTGCAAGGCCCTCCTCGTTTAAGGCATCTGAAGGTGCAAACCAGGCGCCGGAGAGAAGAAGAAGAAGAAGAAGAAGAACCCAGAGAGGAGCTTGTGTGACCTGCAACTCCATGAATGAAGAGAACAATGGTCTTCCTCCTGTGCCTTGTCTAAACAAGCTCAGGATTCAAGTGGTCAGAAGAAAGAAATGGAAAACCGAAAAGCAGCTTGGCAAGATTAGGAGTGGTTTCTACACTGATTGAGAAGGATGGAGAAAGCAGTGAGAGGGAGAGAGGGGTTGGGAAGGAACCACCAAGTACTTAAGAGAGAGAGAGAGAGAGAGAGAGAGAATGTGCTTGTGTGTCGCTTGTTGGGTAAAGCATCACACAAAAACTTACAACGTGGAACGGAGTTCGGTGGGGGTTCTTGTCGTTTGGGGAAGGACATTAATGGCCTGCTTCCTTCTCGCCCTCTTCTGCATCGCATGTGATGATGGGTGGGCTCGAGCTCTGGTTTTTTGGGTGACAAGCAGACAAAGCATCCCAAACTTTGATCTCTTCATCCATGTATCGGTGTGTTCTATCGATTCTCTGAGAAACATTATAGGTTTGAGGATTCTGCTGCTCGTCACATTTCCTTCCCCCACAAGACCTTCCATCTCTCCAGTTTCAAACTCACCAAGTGTGGGCTGTGGAAGTCTACCAACCTTTCATCTGTCATGGTCTGCTAAGCTCGCACCGAATCACTCCTCGTCGTTGTCAGCGTTGGGCAGAAACCCACATTAGAGTTCGGTGCATGCAAATCTGATGGTGTAGAAAAGTTCACAACTGTTCGACTAAAGTAGGCGGCGAAGGCTGGTCTGATCTGCGCCAATCACTGGCGATATTGGGAAGAAGAAAGAACAGCCGAAGACTACGACAATGCATATGTGGAATAATAGCAAGTCCAAGTCTGTGTGCGTGTCAAAGGAGTCGGATGGACGGTTGACTTCCCTCTCTCCACGTTCTTCAAAGAGCTACACACAATCTAACAGGCATGACTTCTCACCCAACAAGATGTTGGATTTTGGAATCTCAAGTGCAGCATTTGTCACATGAATATATTATCATACATATTTATTTTTGGTTGGTTATGGAACATCTATCGTTCTTTGATTGGTGAAAGTAATGGAATGGACAGATGACACCAGGCAACATAATACTGATAGGGATCTGTCACTGCAGTCCTCAGACATCAAGTCTCCGTATGGCCACCAAACGCGGTGAGAGGCCTACTTGACCTACAAAGTTAGTCATCGTGCGATCTATGACGCAAAAGAAACATGATTGAGGTAAAAAGAAGAAAGGAAGCGGTTTTTGTCACCCTTGATGATGATGATGTGACATGGAATGGGTTTCATTACAAATTAGAGGAATTCACATGTCATGTGGCATCCACATGGATGCTCGACGCATGTGCCATATGGACACCATGATAGTTTTGGGTCAAAAAGAACCGTAAATTCTACGTACTCTACCTCGCGATAAAAGAAAATTCCCTCCTCGTGTCATCATTCATTTCACTCGGCTGTTGATCATATTAAAGAAAACTCTACCCTTCGTCTAAATTTAATGTAGATGTTGATTCGGAGCCAATTGTGATTCTATTTCATGCACCAAAATTTGAGCTTAATTTGGATTGCCTTTCCGGAAACCAATCCTCTATTTGTTTCGGTGAGCTTTGACCTGATCGGTACTACTGAAAACTCGGACATGGTTACAGCGAAGCCATAGATACGGGATCGTTCCGTCATCAAAGCAACGGCCGCACCTCCTCTGCAGCCGTGCTTGCACTTCACCTCGAGACTCCAACATCTGGTTTTCTGTGCATGCTGGGCCACAGAGGTCCACACTCCAAACCTCCTCAGGTCTTAAGAGCTTCTTCGCAGACCAGTGATGGGCCCGAACTATCCATACGACGTTGAATTGGGCTAAGTCGAAGGATCCAACCAGGCTTTTGGACGCTGCAAACGAAGCATCTAAGCATTCCTTTACTTCTTCCACACGTCCCTTCATATACATATCTATATATTTCCTCGTGCATCCATCTGTACACCACTTGTCATTGGATGCCTTCGTCGTCCAGTTCGGGTTCTGTAGATGGTAGCCCTAACCTGCAGCCTTTCGCCCTCGACTCTCATGAACTGAACTCGAGCGTTTTGCCCATCCTGCACTCTGGTCTGGTCTAGGTTTAGTTTCTAGGTCTCATTGCTCCATTACGTATGGCAGCAGAATCACCTTGACATGACCGGTAAGTCAAGTCCACCCAAGCACCATATACATTTTTCTATAGAGTAGGCACTGTCACTTTGCATCCAAGGGCATATCTTCAGGCCCTCGCCCACCTACTTGTATGGTTTACGTGCTTATAGCCTGTTTTAATACAATATCTGCTCAATTATTAACACAAACTCAACTATATAGATATATAGATAGATAGATAGATAGAGAGAGAGAGAGAGTGAGAGAGAGAGAGAGATGGTTTTCTAAGGTGAAGTCAGTCAATCACACCAACTTAAGAGAGAAGGAACTTTGCGTTAAATATCTGATAAAGTTCTCATCCACTACAACATTTATCTTCGCCTTCGTCAGCACTACTTGGTGGTCCTCGGGTCGCGATTCTTTCGCATCCTCTCAATTAGCGCAAGCATAAGTCCGGCTGAAGTGTTCTGCAGTGAAAGGTGGAGACCGCTGCAGAAGCTGCCTGAGGAGAGGAACTCGGGTGCTTGGAAGAAGGGGTTAATGGCGGTCTCAGAATAGTAAGAGAAAAATGAATTCAAAGAAACCACATGGAATTCATGCTTCTCACATACTTGTTCGGATTCATCATCTCCGAGCTTGCGAGCAGGGAATCACATCGAAGACCATGATGTTCTTCATCATGCACGAATATGATGTCGGACAGTGTTCAGCATCTTAAATCTTTCCACGTATCAAGGGAGAGGCCATGTCCTTTCCTATCATAGGCCCCCCACGACCAATCTACCGAGCCATGAGGTCCACTCTGCCCTGCCTTTATAGTCTTCTTTCAAACATGCTCGATCACGTCTCTAGGCTAAAGAAAGTAGACGGTGCTACGAGGAGGTCCATGGACATTGGCTACAGCTGGTGAGCGACACAAGGGTTACACGAAAGAATACAATCTTGGAGGTAAACAAGAAGGAGATCCATACGTGAAGGCCATATACATCTCACAGGTTAGGATTTCCATCGGGGAGTTATCCTCCTCACACATGTACTATCGGCATGTAAATATACTACAGTGCTGATGTTTTATAACATGAAAAAGAAAATTATTATTTTATTATGAAGTGGATGAGAAACTCATGAAGTTGGAGCAACCCGGAGGCCCATCTCGTGGCAGCTGATGGAAGACTTTGGACGAGGGAAGCTGGGTGACGATGATAGGTTGGGTGCTTCATGCATGGTCTCCGAGATTAGAACATGTGGAGCAGAAATATTTTTCTAAGACTAACCTCATGAATATAATTGCATTCATATGCTACATGAATTAAATTATTCATGAATCCGATAAGGATCCACATGCGAACGCCACAAAGTCGATGACAGGTAGCCCTCGAGCCATCACTCCGAGGAGACCAGCAAAAAATGACATCGGTCAAACCAATTTTGACACGCCTGTATTCTAACAGTGATCCATTGGCTTCTTCTTGCTTTTTATATAGTTATGGTCATCGAGAGAAAACAACGTCGAGTGTTGAAGTCGTAAGCGAGCCACTAACTTAAATGGCCAGAACGATGTCCTCGTCATCAGATATGCATGTATGCGGATGGCCGGACAGATCGAGCTTTCACGACGACGGCATTGACCTCGTAGCGTTGCTCTGCTGAAAGCTCATATTTGTCACCAAGTTTTTTTGACAATGAAACATGACTTCTATCCTGATTTTTATCTGGATCAAGTAATTGTCTCAGCTACTGATCTAAGTACTGGTCTCTCTCGCATCTGTGGCGAGATATGAACAGGAATATGTAGGTTAACACTTCATGAATCCCACCAACTTCAGTTGGAACATCAGACAAGGTTGCCTTTTGTTGGATTTGTTTATTGCGTTAGTACCATCTCGTTCATCAGATTCCTGTGCATGTTTATTCCTATAATACAACTTGGGCTGCACAGTCCCCACATGGTTGCTAATTCCTTCGCCAAAAAGATCTTATTGTCCTGCTGCTCTTATGAGATGTCGCTGTTGGCGTACATGCAGACAGAAAAAAGAACTTAGTTAGCATACCTGTGTATACAATAATACTCCCGAGACGAGCGCAATCTACGGTCATCTTACTTAGTGTCACTACTGTTCCCCACATGTATAGATATTTCTCTCTCTTTCGGATAAGTCGTATTCACCTCATTCACTTGATTCATTACTGTTGCTATGACTCTTTTTCTTTGTCTAATCTTATAGTATACCTCAGACGGAACTATATATAGGGATATATAGAGACATCAGCTCAACCCACGCAAATCAAACCAAACAACTCCATTTCCTCTCTCTCTTTCTTCTCCTCCTCATATCTTGTTCTTCTTCTTCTTCTTGGTTAAAACCCTCTCTGCCTGTTGTAGATATCTCTTTTAGAGGTTAAGGAAAAGAGAGTAAGATGTCGGAGATCGACTACTGCCGGTCTAAAAACAGCGGCAGCCTCAGGCTGAAGCTGTTTGGGTTCGAGATGTCCGAGGGAGAGGAAGCCGGGTTGGGCTCCGACTCATCTTCCTCCACGATCACCACCGCTTCCGGCGGCGGAGGCGGAGGTGGTGGAGGAGGAGACGGGAAGAAGTACGAGTGCCAGTTCTGCTGCCGCGAGTTCGCCAACTCGCAGGCGCTGGGCGGCCACCAGAACGCGCACAAGAAGGAGCGGCAGCAGTCGAAGCGCGCGCAGATGCAACAGCAGCTCCACCACGGAGGAGTCGGCTTCGGCGGTCTCCTGTACCCTCGGAGCCCGATGGTGTCGGCCTTCACGACGCCGCCTCGTTTCCTCCCTGCCGGTTCGGCTTCTCCGATTTCCGGCCACCCCGACTGGGTCTACTTCTCTCGGACGGCCGCGCCGCAGCCGTCTCCCTTCCACGTTTCGCACGGATGTGCCTTCCCCGCCCCATCAGCTACCAATCGCAAGGTCCCGCCAGGGCCTGGCATCGTCTCTTACGCCGCGGCCGGATACATAGATGGCGGTGGCATGCAGGTCCATGACGAGGGTCGAGCGGCAGCCGGGCCGATTTCTTTTCCAAATAAGGATGACTCGGCCGGCAAGGATGACTCGGCCGGGTTGGACCTCAAGCTCACCCTCGCCACGGCCGGGTCGTAACTCGATTTCCCTGCAGGATGATGGATCTGCTCACGGAAAAAAAAAAAAAGTTTCGAATCCTGTAATCTTTTTCTTCCCTTTTCATGTTCCTAATTTTCTTCTTTTCTGATCTCATCTGTTTCCGCAAGGTGATGTTCCTATTCGGGATAACATTCCCGAGTCCTGAGTTGTACATATATATAACTCCTATTTCCCTTCCATCATATGATATCGAAAGACGATGAGTTCCATCCACTGTGTTAGCTTCAACACTTGCCATTTCTCAATTGAATTGATGCAGAAATATACCATTATATTCTAAATAAACGTACATATTTATGTTATCATATCACGAAAGGTGGATGAGAACCGGGAAGACGCACAGTGGATGTCTTGAGTCACGTGTTTCAGACGTCTATTATTTGATGGAGGATGTCGTAACGCTGGGCTTTTAGAGTATTGTAATCAAATATCCAACCAAACGGGTCGCGTGGTTTCTGACCGAGTCAGCGTGTCTGGCGCCGGGGAGCGGGTCTTGTGACACGCTCCGACTCACCGGCACGGTGGTGCTGCTACGTTTCGCCCAGCGTTTGGGCCTCCCTATGTCGTGTCAGCATCCCGACGTACCCAAACCCGACCATACTTAAAGTGGGATCAAACGGGTGAGACCACAGATTACGTGGTCAACATGTGAAGATAGATCGTCCTCAGATTCGTATCCCTTAAACTAATCCCCGTCCATTATTATTTGCACTGCTCCCAATCAATCCACATTTCTAGCATAGTGACCCACTCAAAGTTGCCTTTGGAATCATGGCCGGGCCGAGCAGGGCTCATTGAATACCCGCTGCATGACGTGATTTAGACATGTCACTTGGCCTAACAATTACTGTTCTCCATCGATGATCAGCTACTTTAGCTACTGAGGCTTATACCATCCGAGTTCTAGGTTTGGACCTTCGGACGACTCTCTTCCTCTCATCATCATTACGAGACAAGTCTTAAAGTACACGCACTAATGTCGTTGAATCGTACGATGCATAAATGGTAGAATGTAGTAATCAATATCCTTCTTATGGTATCACTGCAAGCAACCCAACATATTTCCTTCCTACCAAATGTGGGTCGCTGTCCTTAAGATACACGATAATAAAGAAACCCCGCGAGGAAAGATCTGCCGGCATTAAGATATAGTTTATCCATCTTGTCAAGCCTTATCCTTATTGGACGTACGGTGATTTAATATGGCTGCTCCTACGGCTCTTCCACGTATGTGCAGTAGCATCGACAGCAAGAGAGGTTACGTGTACACTCCTCTGTGAGCATTCATCGTTCGAGGTTTTCGAAAGGATGGAATGGGCACAAGAGATGACATCTGACAAAGATATAATAAGAAAACACGACTGGTGATGCAAATGTGGGTCGAGGACCGAACGAGAGATTGCATGATTGCCAAACCACAATGGTTGCGAGATCACATTATTCGAGTGTTACGATGAGGCAACATCTTATCTTAGATGTTGCCTCAAAGTAATTATAATTCAATTTTAAATAGCCATTATGCATTCGGGTTTAGTTACTCATGTTGTTTGGGTTCTTCTGATCCTGGTCAAGTTTATTCTATCAGATCAGATAGCTTTCTTGAATTGGATGCTCTTTGGATCCAACCCAACCCAACCCGATCTTGGGATCTCAAGCGGAGTGAGAGCCCAGATTGCTTGGAATTTGGATCTGCAGAAGGGTTGGGTGGGTTGGACTTGACGACAGCGTTGTATGCACTGTACCCAGTCGAGGAGACGAGCAAACTTTCTCGTAGGTGCCGGGGATCTTTCGACGTGTAATACGACGACGAAGTGATCCAAACCCAACTGAGATGCGAGCTAAAGTTAACCGGAGCTTAACTCGAGTGGACTCAGCCTGGTGAATTGACCTGAGCCAGTTCACGAATCAGAAGCGCTCAAGTCCCATTTGGCTGCGTGATGCAAACTGGTCAACGCACGAGTACGTCACTCGACGAGTAAGAAAAGTTACATGCAAACAACTGAGATGGTTGAAACTGAGCCTAACAGACATTATTGATGCTAGCTGATTAATAAGTTTGTGCGACGACATTTGGTTGTCCTCCTTCTCTAATCTTCCTTTCTTTCATTGGCTCTTTGTATGTTTCCACAAGCATTATTTTTCTTCTCTCTTTCCTTTAGTATGTGATGATGATCCTTCAGCGAGTTGAAATCAATTTCTTTCAATATGCAAAATGTTAATATTATTATGATTAGTAATTATTTTTAGGATTCTTAAATATATTTAAATTATTTGATAGAGTTATAATTAAATTATAATTTTTGAATGAATTAGGATTTATTTCTATAAATCCAACTTGAGTCTCAGAATTTTGGCAGGAGAAAGAGAGGAGTAGAGAGATTTACAATCTTGGATCAATAAAAAAATAGTTTACGAGCTAGCTGTAACGGTCGCTTTTCTCACTGCTTTGATAAAGAATAGAAGATAAGAACAATTGTTGAAGAAGTTTTATTGTAGATAAGAAGTTTTCGCTTAATAAATTAACATATCTCTCTCCTATTTATACTGATTAGGAAGAGAATTTTCATCAACAGAATATAGGATTTTCCTCAACAGAGTAGAGAGATTTCCTCGTATAATTAAAGAAATCTTATTTTCTATCATATACTAAAGATTTTTTGGTACGATTATTGATCCATTTTTTAGTTTTCGTTTTACTTGTCTCCGTCTCCAACAGATTTAACACATGATGTAGATTATCATAAGGTAATGGGAGAGCAATTGTGCTGTGATGGTAAGGCTCGCCTCCACCTAAAGTTGGCGTGAGATTGATGGGACAAAGGGTTGGAATCTTCTGATCGCTATCTGTGCTGTCTTTTGTGGCTGGAAAAAGCATTTCCTCCCAGTGAATCTCGATGACTCCATTCAGCTGTCACGGCCACATGCCTTGCATGGAGATTCAGGTAAAGCTTTCGACTGTCAAAGATCGGCCCAACTCTGACGCTTAATAGCCAGCCAAAGAACAAACACGAAAATGATTACCAGTGTGTACTGGCACTGTAGGAAATCTCTGCTCTCATGTTTTGCTCCACTGTAGAAGCTGAAATCTAGCTAGAGTCGAGTCATTCTCTCTTGGCAGCGAGTGGGAACACATCCGTAAATGATGCTGCCCGGCCCGGGAGTTCAGTCGCTTCACGGGTCTATCCGACAACGAAAGATTAATCTGTTTTGGAGTTACAGACACGCACTGCATGACGATTGCACTCGATTCATCATCCAACCTCTGTCTTTGATCTTTCAGCGAAGGGTCTTTTGCAGGGCCGCCGATCGACGTGTCGATGAAGCAACCTGAGAACCGCCCGCCCGCCCTCCCTCCCTCCTGTGGGTTTTGCTCCGCGTGATGATAGCTCACGCTACTTGTTCCAGGATTAGGGTAGGGTTTCACAGTCATACGTGCAGAAGCGATGATAGAATGGGATTTGACGCATAGGATTGATTCCAACGCCACATGACAAGAGCCTCCGGAAACATACGTCGACCTCCTGCAGCGGGTGCAAGTTCGAAGGAAGGTTCACCGTTCACATCATCGTGGAAGTTGTTAGAGACTCTCACCCCTAAGCTCAGACGATGAAGCAGACCCTCCATTGCTACCTACTCCTTTGTTTAGGAGCATGGGAGTCGACGACCATCATAAAAAAGGCCGAAGAAGCACCTAATGACCTTGGTCACATCGGTCTCGTATTTTTCATCTGGAAATCTCGGGGCGTGCCAAATTCTTCTTGTGTGATTTCCAGGATAAGACCACGATTGATTGGTCCAGCTGACTCCATAGTCAACGATGCTTCATGACCCTAGACAATGTGGCTATGTTGGGCAAGCGGCTGGCTGCATGCCTTTTTCTTCCGAAACAAGTGGAATTAAGCCGATTGCTTCCAAGCACTGCATTTGTTTTTTACCTCTCGTTTCTTGAAGATGATTCTGTCATGATCTCTCATTGACCGTGGGGGTTTTCTGACAAGGCTTTCACATCGATTGCACCGCAAACACTCTACTCAAGTTTGCATGGGAACCAATCTGCTAAGAGAAATGATGGTGGAAGAATTCATATAAGTATCTTAATTGTACTTTTCCTTTGGAAATATCATAGATTATTAGTCAACTTATTTATCGATGTACGTCATTTGGGAAAGACACTTCCACTTACGACCGATCGTGGGAAGCCGCACGACCGAGTCAAGTTTGCCGAGGATTTGGACTTATCGGCAACCGGCAACCATGGAAGCCGCCTGATCCCTGACGCCGTGGAAGCCAACGACATAAGCTTGAGGATGTGTACGTGGCAAACTCTCCATTGCATGAGAGAGGAAGAAGCAAATAATCTACAGCTGTCCGCAACTGAAGTTGTGAGGAGAAGAGATGTCATCCGTCAGTTCGATGTGATGTCGAATCCCATCACACCCTTGTTCATACTTCTCCGGTTGTACCACGCATCATCCGCATTGGTAGATCTTTCGAAAGCCATGCATTCGCTACAGTAAATCCGAGAACTTTGACAAGATTTTTGGTTCTTCGTGCTCACTTCGTGTGCAGTGGATGAAGATGGGGAGGAGGAAAGGCTAAAAGATGGAGGAGCCACCATAAGTTCAACTGATCAAAAGATCATCTCGAGTACTTGACTCGAAGTGAAGTGATCTCTTGACTTGCACGAGAATCCTAGTCGAGAAGCACATCCGTGCCTGCCTATTTCAGGATCAGCTGATCAGCTTGCCAACAGGAATCACATGCAGACAAGGGGAAACAGATACATCGAACTTGCACGTTACAGTCTTCTTACAGTTTACGGTTCACTTCGACGGTGATATATACTTTACTACCTGAGAGTTATCAGCAAAAGGAACCTTAGTTTCTGCTGCACTCTCGTAGGTTTTGGACATGTCATATAGATCATCCATGCTCCACAAGCTATCACCAACGTTGTTGCTGTGATCAGAGGCCGAATGGCTAGGGGCTGATGCGGACACGGGTGCTATGTCCCAGGTGTCAAGGTCGTAGAAATCGTTAATGGAGCAGACGCTGGAGAATGGATCGAACGTGACGCCACTGAGCTCATCCGATGGTCCTGATGGGAAGTCGGACAAGTCTACCGGGAGTTGCGAGAGCACGACGGAGCAGGATGAGGTGCTGAGGCTGCGACTCTCCGGTTCCGGTAGCTCATACGACCCGCAACTTTGAAGAACTCGATGAGCTTCATCAGTAGCTGTTGTAGTGTTGGCGTTGGCATCTACAGATCGCAGGGTTTGAGAAGATCCTATGATCTGCTCACGCAACCTTGGCGTCCAGTAGCATTGCAGGGCATCTCGAAACATGGAGCTGTTGGGATCAACCTTGAGCTGCCTCGCCTGCTTCTGCACTCGAGTCCTCCAGTAGTTCTTTATCTCATTGTCTGTTCTCCCTGGAAGATGTTGTGCAATTCTAGACCACCTACATATATATATTTATGCGTGTGAATCACCGATGCATCAACCATAAGAGACTCACGCATGCAATCGTGATCGCCAGTGATGTTACCTATTTCCCCACTTGGAATGGAGTTCGAGGATCAGTAGCTGTTCTTCGGGGGAGAGGTTACCTCGCTTCACATCGGGCTTCAAGTAATTCAACCACCTCAGCCGACAACTCTTCCCGGTTCTCTTCAAGCCTACGACGAATCATCAAAGAAGTGAGACGATGGCCTGTAGATTAGGAACAGATCGAGAACAAGAGAAAGAATAGCCTTTTAATGGAGTCATCAGCCGGCTAATCAGGTCAGATGAATGGCCACCTGAGCACTTAGCCAGGAGATTCCAGCGGCCTTCGCCATGGCAAGTAATATAGTGCATGAGGAGTGTGTCCTCCTCCAGAGTCCAAGGGCCTCTCCTTAGCTCCATCTCCTCATGTTTACCGGATGACCCCCTTTTGTCCGACATTGTTAGTGCCGCGCCTTGGAGAAGCCACTCGGAGAAGAAGGCTCAGTTGATTTCCATGTTATATAGACCATGCCAAGATATGACCTACTTAATAATCTACCAACAACGGTGCAGACCCTTTATGACTTGTAGCGATCATAAAGGAAATTTTGGAGAAGATCTACTTGTAGTTATAGACTTTAAGGTTCGTGTGGGAGGGAAAGAGGACATAAAAGGAAAACGAAAGAAAGGAAAAGATGAGGAAGATGAGTTTGATGGAGGCTTTTGAGGCGTGTCTATATTTATTGTCTACACGAGACGTGTTTGACTGTTCAAGACATCAGAGTGGTTGATATCTATCATCGGACTCGGCACTTCTAGACGTAAATAATCACGTTTGCTAATCTGGCTGCAGTTTGATACGATGTCCATCGGTCTTGCAGCGTCCATTTCATGCATGTTTCCCTTTCGCCTTCAACTATCTCTATTGTTTTCTATCCGATACAGGCTATAGGGTTTTACGATCATTGCCCATCGTCTCTTAATTGCCTCTGTTCTAAAAGCAGTGGTTTGGTCAATGTGTAGTTTTCCCTGGAGGAAGAGATGCACACAGTCTACAGACGAGAATACATTGCTGTGGCGCAGCAGAATGCGTGAATGAAATTAATTATACTCGATCCAGAAATGTTTTCTCAAGTTAGTTTCAGTCTACCAAGTTGGAAGCAGCTGCCATATATCTATCTACTCGTCATGATGCAGTCCAATCGAAGCTCAGCAGAAACTGGAGTTCTAATACCTCTTCTAACATTCTTTTAGACGACATTAATCGACAAAGCCACCTGTAATGCCACCGAATATTCGATGGCTGTCCATGAGACCCCACAATAAAGCAGACAATGACGGGTAAAGCAAGCAAGCAACCAACGATAAGAGTGCAGATAATTAAACCGACACTCTTCCTTACCAAAGTTACATCCGAATAATGAGCAAATCTTTGCAGCAGTTTCGGATTTAGTATTCCGGCATACAGTATTCTTTTGGCGCATACGAACAAGTGGTGGTGCGTCCTACAACAAAGTACGGGGAACATTTCGTATTTTTGGTTTGCTGCATCACCTGTCAATGGCGTCTTTCTAGTAGAAAAAGGAACATGACGATGAGTGTTTGATCTTTCATTTCTTTTCTTTTCTTTTCTTGGAGGAAGCGAAGGGCACGACACAACTCGATCGTCAATGTGAACAGGGAGAAAAGGAGGTAGGCCGAGCATAAGAAACCACAACCTGCAACGCAGATTAATTATCCCACGGAATGATCAGAGCCTCTTTTTCTGCGATGCAGAATGTAGAGCTCGTTTGCACTTGTGTGTGTGTTTCTGGAATGCCCTCGTTAATGATGTCGGCAACAAGTCATGCAAGCGAGCGTTTACATAGTGTATTGCTTGACGGAGACGTTGCATTGTGCTCCATTGACATTGCTCGTTCCCAAAAATGACAGATTTGTGCTTCTTTGTTGCTGCAAGCCATATATAGATCAGGATATGCATCCATCAACATGCGGTGTGGCGACCCGTACGAACGCGCGTCCTTCCAGAACCTCACAGGCTCTGCGAAACCCCACACGTCCTTCCAACCATCACATACTACAGTGAGTGAGCAAGCAGCAGCCATCGGACAAGCCTCAGATCGTTGTCCGTGCTCAGAGGAGACACTAAGCAATGGAGAGGACGACAATGGTGCTGTCAGTTTACGACAGCAAGCATGACATCACGTTCCAGGCAATAATGTTTTTGTTCACTGACAATATCTACCAACCTCATCGAACTGTTCCATTTCTCGACTGTCGATCAGCAGTTGCCTTTACAGAAGAGCGCTCGGCTGCACACTTGCATGCTTTGTGTATGCCACTAGAAATACTCTATGGGTACACACCAAGTAAAATACGATCCCTGTAGCTTCGACAGGCGAATATTATATGGTGCTTGGGGACCGTCAACAGTCACTCGATTGGCATTTTAGCGCAGGCCGATCAAAGGATCATGTCCTGCCCACAGCACTCCATGTCTCCGACTCGGGTTGTCTTCTCTGACGCATGATAACAAAGAGATTTTCTTAACTGCTGAGATTTACTCAACTGTATAAGGTAATCTCTTTGTTCAGTTAAAGAAATCTGAAATTGTGAAGAGCCATCACTGCTATTGCAGTACCCCTATTAAGTCGATGTCGAGAAAAATTCTTGCTGTCTGGCATCACACCGTTGTCAAAATTTTTCTCGTATGCGGCAGTCCCCCCTCTCCAGGCGAAGCTGGCCCCCCCACTCGCCGCTCACAATCGATCATTCGACAGCAACTTCCCTGCTTCCGATCTCGACCACGGCTACCGCACCAAGTTCCAAGCCTACGGTGCAACGCCAACCATTTGTTGGGTCCAGTCAACGCATTTGGTGACTTTGCATCGCAGGGAGCACGCACTCTTGGTTCCTCCTTACTGCAGAAATTTTTTTTTTTTCTTCCTCCCTCCTTATCGCAGAAAAGTACCAACACTTCTTACTTTTTATTCCTCTTCTTCCTCTTTACTGTAGAACTTGTTCATTCTTCCTGGCTTCTTACTGCAGAAGTACCAACACTTTTTCCTTTTTATTTTTCTTTTGATCCTTGTTATTGCTACATATTTCTACTTGCTCCCACATAGTAGTCCATATCTTCCATGTCTTCATCATCTATCTCTGTTACTCCACTTATTGTTCTAACAGGGAATCATAGTACTTTCCCACGTACGAATCTTATCTCCATAAATGCAGCAACCCTCATCCCCTTCAAATTATTCAAAGGTGACAACTACGCATCTTGGCGTGCTCAATTTTCTAATCTTCTATTTGGCTATGACCTTCTAGGCTATGTCGATAGCTCTCTTCCTTGTCCACCGACGATGATCAACATCCCAGGAGCATCCAGTCCAGTATCAAATCTGGACCACAAACTATGGTTACGCCAGGATCGTCTTATTCTTCAAGCAATTCAAGCTTCGGTCGTTGGATCCCTCGCCCCACTCATATCTTCATGTGACACTACTGCCGAAGCCTGGTGTAAGTTACAAACCACCTGGCAAATCGTTCACGAACTCACATGCTTAGTCTCCTATCCGGACTTATAAAAATAAAACAAGAGGGAAGTACTATTACTGTTTATCTGCACAATATAAAGATTATTATTTGTAACTTGACCTTGATAGGTCATTCCCTCAGTGATGAAGAAGTTACTATCTATATCATCAACGGCATAGGAGACGAGTACAAGGAACTGGCAGCAGCAATACGGGCACGTGATTCACCAATGTCGTTCGAAAAACTCTACGACAAGCTGACTGATTTTGAGATATATCTCAAACGTGAGGATAAATTGTTAGGACCATCCATCATGGCTCAAGTCAATCAAAAATCCACGAGGATGGGCTATCAGTATAACAAGACTATCAATCAAAAATGCCTTATGAACCTTTGAGCTCCAACCAAACCCCTCCTCTACATCATCAACATTTCAATCACGACAACCAAGGTGGCTACTTCAATCATCAGCAGTCCTGGCACCCTCAACACACAAATCAACGAAGAGTTGTCTGCCAATTATGTGATAAAGTTGGTCACTCTGCAAAGGTCTGTCAATCTCGACCCCGACTTTCTGCAGAATCACATTGGCCTCAAGCAAATCTCGCAACTACTCCAAACACTACGAATCATAATTGGATCGTGGACTCTGGCGCGTCACACCACATTACCTCTGATCTATAGAACTTGTCGATCCACAACAACTATAGTGGACATGACGACATCATCATCGGGTGTAAATGGGTCTTCCGAATTAAGCGAAACCCCGATGGGTCCGTTGCTCGATATAAAGCATGATTAATAGCCAAAGAGTTTCATCAACGACCTGGAGTTGACTTCACAGAGACTTTTAGTCCTGTAGTTAAACCTACAACAATTCGGCTTATTCTAAATTTGGTCATCTCCAAATGTTAGCACTTACGACAATTGGACGTTAACAATGCCTTTTTACAGGGGACTTTAACTGAAGATGTCTTTATGCAACAACCCCCTGGTTTTGTTCATCACCAGTATCCGAGACATGTCTACAAATTACAAAAAGCCATTTATGGACTCCGTCAAGCTCCACGAGCTTGGTATACTGAACTTAGATCGTCTCTGATATCAGTTGGCTTCATCAACTCCAAGTCTGATACCTCTTTATTCCTACAACAACAACATGGAAATACAATATACCTTCTAGTATATGCAGATGATATTATTGTTACAGGCAATGATCCCTTAGAGATTCAGACATTTTTAAAACAATTGGCTGATCGATTCTCCCTCAAAGATTTAGGACCCTTGAGCTACTTTCTTGGAATGGAAGCAACATTTACATCCTCAGGTCTCCTCCTCTCACAGAGAAAGTATATTCAAGACTTATTATCAAAGACAAATATGCAGGATGCGAAAGAAGTTGCCACTCCTCTCTCTACTAGTGAATCACTCAAATTATGCGATGACAGTCCTACCACGGACTCAACTCAATACCGACAAGTACTTGGTTCCTTACAGTACTTGACTCTCACCCGTCCATATATCTCATTTGCAGTCAATAAATTATCTCAATACATGCACCAGCCTTCTGCTATGCATTGGTCTGTAGTTAAACGAATTTTGTGGTATCTTAAAGGGACCCTTAATCATGGTCTCTTTCTCCGCAAGACCACTCAACTTCATCTTCATGCCTTTGCTGATGCTGATTGGGCGGGAAACTTTGATGATAGAACCTCCACGTCAGGGTATGTGGTTTTTCTTGGGTCTAATCCAATCAGTTGGAGTTCTAAGAAGCAAAAGACAGTGGTCTGGTCTACAACTAAAGCTGAATATCGTGCTATTGCTACCGCTGCTACTGAACTCAATTGGGTCACAAATCTTCTCAAGGAACTCAAAGTCAGCTCTACCCATACTCCTACAATATATTGTGATAATGTTGGAGCTACCTACTTATGTGTCAATCCAGTGTTCCACTCATGCATGAAACACATTGCCGGCTGATTAACTAGCAGACTCACTCACGAAGCCTCTAGCCCGCAAACTATTTTTGCTGCATCGGTCCAAGATCGGTATCCTTGACAGGAGCTCAATCTTGCGAGGGCATGATAACAGAGAGATTTCCTCAACTGTATGAGATAATCTCTCTGTTCAGTTAAAGAAATCTTATCTTTTTCAACGTAGACATCCTAAGCGATGGCGACGATGATGATGATAACTCTGTATGATTAGGGAGTAAGAAGAGCTTCAACTTTACACTTGTTTTCGAATAGACCCCAAGCAGTGGAGCAAACAAGATGAGCTGCATCGTGATAGATCGACGGGGATTTGAACTCCCAAACTATAGCCTCCACCATAGGTGGCTATAGTTGGGCCGGTCCAGGCCGGTCCATCAGGCATTGTCATAATGGACCGGCCCAATAGGTGGCATCTACATTCACATTCTTTTCCGAGAATTCTCCTTTGCGTTCAATGTATTAAATGAAGGCTTCGATTTCTTAAGGGTTAGCTGAGGGTAGTCGGTACGATCAGTGCCACAATTCACATCATTCATGAGAGCCAAAAGCATCAGCACACTACTATGATATATAGTAATCAAGTAATATGTACTCCAAATACCAACACTAGACTTTAACCACGTAAAGCAAAAGAAACCTGAAGTTGTGGTTGTTTCTATCCCTACTCTTTATCTTTCCACCCTCACTTTCACTTTTATTCACTAGACTTTGGTGTTCATGAAGAGATGCTAAACTTACCGCCTTATTCTACGCATGTCTGATACAGAACTGTCATCTCTCTCGATCTATCTTTACAGTGACAGAGGTCAGGTGGAATGTTCTGATGGGCGTCGTCTAGCCTAAAGCACAGTAGACTATACAACACTAACGTCCAAGTCAGTGAACAGGGAAAGGCAACGGGGAGGAATCTCTCAGGACCTTTCCATCCCATATTCTTACTCTGGTCAGCTCCTTCTCGCACCACCGCAACTGCTCTTGGCTAATCTCAGGCATCCTCAGAATCCTGGACACGATCTTCATGTCTATTAAGCCCATCAATACATCGGTCTCTTCGTCTCCATTCGACCTCTTCCTTTCCAGGCACCTCCTTCGCTTCATTATATCCTTGAGCCTCATCTTCTTCTGCAAATAATGTCATCCCTCATAAGAAAGAAAGCAGACATTAGAGTGAGTGACGGAGTGCTCACTTTCTTATTAGCCCTTCTGAGCACATGAAGAAGAGTAGAATTCACGGAGCTTGATTTCCTCTTGATGAATGCTCTAAGCATTTGGCAAGGATTCTCCTTGTCTGCCTGAAGGAAGCTCAGGAAGGTTCGAATCGCATCCACCAGAATCGCCAAAAACTCGGTGGACGAAACCACGTCTTCTTTACCTTCATCAGCTTCTGATGCAGAGAAATCAATCAGCACAAGTGAGGTAGGCTGTAAGACGAGCAAACAGACAAACGACAAGGCCGTACTGCGTTCCTACCACGGAACTCAGGAACTTGGAGCAATTTGGGAGCGGAAATCCTCGTCCGAGCAAACACTTCGGGCCTCCGACCACGCTCGCAGGGCTCATTTTCTATGAACCGCTGCAAGAGGACCTGAAACTGTTGGAATTGCTGAGCTACGCATACAGTGCAAGAGGCGCGCTCACCGTCTCCGGTGGCACTCCTTTGCCGGATGTTGTTGTAATTCCAGTTTAGAGCTTCCCATGCCAAGCAAATCTGAGATACATAAGCTGCCTCCAATTCTTGATATGGGTCTCTGCCTCCCTCCTCCTTCTTCGGTGTGGTAAGCCTGTGAACTAACCTTTCCGACATCGATCGTGGTTGGAACCTTATGGACCTAAATGATTCTGGAAATGGACACGTAGACTCAGCCGATCCATGAAATGAGAGGGTAAGACACGTAGGGAGTACGTAAATAAATATACAGATACAAGAGGAAATGGACCTGTTTCCGTGAGTTTTTGTGCACTGAATCTGTCGAACAACATTCTCTCCTCATCGTACCGTCGGAACGACGTATAGGTTTCCCAGTGGGAAGAGCTTCTCTGTGAGGAAGAGGAGAAGAGACACTCCGTCTCCGAATCCCTGAAGAGCGCAACGTTTCTCCACCCCGTAGAGCTCTTGGATGAAAAGTCAGTACCTGTGAGAGAACCACCCGACGATTCCTTGTCTTCTTCCAGCCGTAACTCTTTGCTCGAGAACTCCTCCTCCTCCTCCTCCTCGTTCTTGTTATTTTGGTATGCGTCTCCGTGAACATCTTCATCTGTTCACAGCGTAAGCGTACCAAGTCATGAGGCAGAATTGAAGGATGATATATGACGACAAGGAGGCGTTGCATCTAAACGTACCTCTGTCAGTCCCATCATATGTGATTGGATACGCAACATCCGATGGTTCTGTGACATCGTCCGCCGGTACATCAACTCCGAGCTCCTCAGGATGATCGAGAGGGGAACCGTACCAAGATTCCGCGACAAAGCTTTCATCAACTTCCAAGAGGTTCTGTTGCTGATTGGAACCCTTTTCTTGTTCGACAAGTAGAGTATCGTTGACCACCCTTTGGTTGTAGAAAAAGAGGAGACTGTCTTCTCTGCTGAAGATGCCGGCAGCGAAGTCTCCGATGCCGGAGTAGCTGTCATCGTCTACGGGCTGGATCTCATCTCGATAGATGAGATGTGAATCCCTGCAATGGAAGGTTACTCGAGAGACGGTAAGAGCGAAAGTGAGCGAGATGGCGAGGTACCTACCTGATCTGTTCCTCGGTCGCGGCTGCTCTTTCAAGGAGAAACGTGAACAGCTTGGTGAGGAGGAAGGAAACGAGATGGAGGACAGTGAGGAGGAAGCTGAGAAAGGTGAAGACATGGAGGAGAAACATCACAGCCTCGCCGTTGGTGGAGTGGCCTCCATGGCAAGCGAGATAGGGCGGTGCACTGGGAGCTGCCGGGCCAAGCACTTGGAGGAAGGGAGGAGGGCAGCTGCCGTTGTGCATTTGCCGTGAACGCTGGCTAAAGAGCACGACGACCAACTGCTTTATCTGAGGAAAGCGGGATGACATCGACGCTCAAGGTAGGGTTGGCATCTCCTACAAAAGGAGATCGGGGCGATGCTTGTGCACGGCGATGGGGGTGGGGGGCCCAATTTGATATGGGACTTGAGAAGAGCGACGACCTGACTCCACCATGGATCCGAAGCTAAAAACTGGTGCAAGGATCGAATGACTTGACCCAAAAGCAAGACAATATGCCCGAGCTTGCTGCTGCAGTTTCGATTTGTGTATAAAGCAGCCAGGATCATCAGATCTTTGTCCGGTAGAAAGCTCCTGGGAAAGCTTACTAAGGCCCCCAAAATAGAGCACCCTGTTTGATCGGGGAATTGCTTTCGATTAAATCTACTCCCTCGATGAAAAAGCTTCTCTCTCTCTCTCTCTCTCTCTCTCCGGTGTCGGTCCCGGCTGTTCATGTGGATCTCACTGCGTCAAGCACGTGAGCGACCATATTACCCTGAAAATTTCCAAGGGCGACTCGGTACGCCATATATAATAACCCTTACCCGAGATCGCAGCGGACCTTTCTCAGTTCGGTCGAGTGACGGCATGGGAATACAGAACTAATTGGACAATGACGACGAACCGGAAGCCGTGCTTTGTGTATGCCTGATGCCTGAATACATTATCCAAACCAGAGACATTAGATCCGACAGTTTTATTTTTTTCTTTTGTTGAAATACTAACTAAAGAAAAAATAATGCAAACTCTTTTGATCCAACCAATTAAATATTTACCTCGACTGATGATTTCATCTCAGTGTGACCGAGTGGAAGATGCTTTAGAATAGATAAAAATCAATGAGGAACAGGAATATCAAATAGCATGCCAATATTTAGGACAGTGATATGACAACTTATACCACAACCACAATCAACTGATTCTTCAAATGCCAGTCAAAAGATGATCGCTGATATACAGATTCAGGCGTGCTTTAAAAATTAGTCAAAACTCATAAGGCTTGAAAGGAAAAAGGAAAATATTGGGAAGATTCAGTGTACAAATCTTAAAGACTGAAAAGAGCCAAGCAAAATATGTAATCTGGTAATGTCTGTGGCATGAATTCCAAGTACTGAAACACACGGCTACAAAGCTTAAAAGCCCCATATATTGTTCCGTCAATATGCAACTGGAAATGGCATCATCAAATCATTCAACAATTCATAACAAAACTATTTATCATCTTTTAGTCTGTAAACATAGCATTGTCTACGGTAACAGGTACAAGTTAGCAGCTCACCTACCCACACATTGAAGGCATAGTTGTGCCACTTCAGCCATTAAAGAACAGCAGAATAGCATTTAACTGACAAGGAACAAAAGAATCACGGGTTCCCAGTCAGACTAATATGGACGAAGTACCTGAGATGGTGGAAAACTTTGTCCCCCAGATGTCATGTAGGATGGAAGAGGGCCGTGTCCTACCTTCAACTGATCAGATGAACCATGCATATCAACACGCTCCGGAGCACCAAAAGGTGGATCATGTAATTTTAACCGTCCACCAACCTAGATGGGCAGAAGAGTAAAAATCACAAGAACTTGAGCCAGATTTAGTGTCATTTGTATGTAATAGCAAAAAAATTATTATCCTGGACTGACCATCTCGTAGCAACTTAAAAGTCCACACTATAATGGAAAATCCTGCAACATTTGTATATGTATGGTGTATCTATACATACATACATACATACATATATGGCAATAAAATATATTTATGTATATATATTTCATTGCCCTTAAAAGACCAGATTGTAGTGAAAAATTATTGTATACAATCATCAAATAGGTAAGAGGGGAATTTGACTACCATTAAGTAACTTCACTATCTTATATTGTTTCTTCTCTTTTTATCATAAACCATTTATAGAAACATAATGTATTCACTATACCTGATGTATATCAGAAATATTGCTACCATCAGCTCCAATAACGGGTGCCACTGCACTATTAGGAATCTTGACGTCCATAGAACTGTTAAAATTAGAGTACCTGGACAAATGAGAGAAACTGTGCAACATGTATGAGACCAAGAAAGATGTCAATGGGACTACCACAAACAACAGAGTAGGTCATTATGATACCCAGGAGCAGCTGATGGTGTAGAATAGTATTGAGCTTCGTGTGCCTGTCCATAACCCTGCAGATCATAACCCTGCAGATCAAGTACACGGATTATACACAGAGGGAGACCATCTGTCTCCATAACAGATGAACATACAGAATTAACATGAATCAGCAAACAAACAAACTTAACAACGTTGAGCAAAGAAACTATCAACCAACCACTTTAATTGCTAAAATTTCAGGTCAGCATGGATAGAAACAGGAGAGTAAGGACATCCATGGCTCACCAAACCATGCCACCAACAAACCTAAACTGGCTACCAACAAAAGCAAAATGTGCATGCCGATGCCAATGAGTGAAGGTGAGCAACCATTCAGAAAATCTAATGTATGGCAACCAACAAAAATTTGAATAGAAGACACTGGTTGTACAGTGAACACTAGCAACACAACTCTCGTAAGGCTCATTTAAAGGGCTATCACCACCGTAAACTATGTTTTAGATCTACAATTTGCAACATCTTTTCCATCATTACCATGTTACAGTGATTAGGGCCTAATAAGTTTCTCTCTAAAAACTAAAAAGTGCCAAACAGTAGGCTAAAAGGTGAGAAAGGGTTAATTCATCAAAGGGAAACCTCCTTCTGGAGTAGGGACATCTGAATATTTGGTTTTATTTAAATTTTGGAAAACCATATTCTTGGCCACCGAGAAACATGTTGGATTAGAAGACATCATACCGTGGCAGTACATGCAAGTGCACCCTTCATACTGTATGTTCACAAATCTAATGCATCAGAAGATTCATAAAAGGAAACTTCAAATTTGCTAGGAGACACAAAGTCCTGGAATTCACAATAAGTGCCAGCCTCTACGAGTCAAATGGTGATAGAATATAAAACACATATATGATCATTCAGAAATAGAACAATAATGTAAAAAAGGACATAAATGATACCTTTGGGTAACTGTAACCGACAGATTTCCCAGGTCCAACCATGCTAGATGTTGGTATTTCTCGAGCAGAAAAGCTTTCAGGAGTGTAACCACGAAAATGGCTCGGTGGTGCATAATCTAAAGCAGCATTTCCATATGATGGTACACCTCGGTCAGACCTGCTTTCTAAAGGAGGAATTCCATGAAAAGGTGCACTAGGTGCAGGATTAACAGCAGCATTCCCGCCTCGGAAAGTCCTTGCTCTGAGCCTAGAAGCAATCTCTGCAAGTGCGTCCCGTGCAACATCTCGAGTTCCAGAAATCTACATGAAAGCGAAACAATTACTACGCTGAGCAGGAAACCAAAAGATGGACATTCTGACAAGCAAGTCGGATCAAAACACAAGCACACCAAGATAAACAAATATACAAAAACATGTTTGGAAAAGATAACTTTGTAAAGGAAGCTAAGAATAAGAAGTGGCATTGCCACATCACCTGCACTAGTTCTTCATTCGCAGATGTATATTTTGGCTTGTCATCCTTGGAGTAAACACGAATATCTGCTTTAGTTCGCCTTCTCATTTCTGTTATTATGTTGCCACCTTGTCCAAGAATGCAACCAACTTTACTAGATGGAACAAGCAATCGAGTTGTGATAACACCATTTTCAGAGCTTGCACTTGTTCTGCTTTGAAGTTGAAGAACAGCTTCAATTGTTGGAGAAATTGTATCCCAAGGAACCTAAAGTTTATCAATTAAAGGCAGTTTTATTATGTATTCAACATCAAAGGCTTAAGAGGCACAAATCTATATCATCTAAATTGGCATGCATCCCAAGATCCAATGTTATTGGCTACATGCAGCTTACCTCCTTACATGAAATACTAATCACACGTTCCTCAGCCTCAGGAGCAGTGTCCTCAACTTGAATGTGAGCACCTGTCTGTTGCTCTAATTGTCTGACATTGACCCCACCCTTGCCAATCACCCCACCGATCTTCACTGTAGCACATAAAATTCTAATGGAAAATTCTTCTACAGTTTCACCATCATTTCCAAAATTGCTTCTGCCAAAATTACTAGGAGGATACCCAGATGGCTCATCTAGGTACCTACTGAACCGTGGTATTGTTGGTGGAACATGGGCATCAGAGTGATATTGGGACCACACTCGATTTCCCTGAGGCAATGGGGGAGGTACGGAAGGTTCAGAGTGATATGAACCTTGGGTACTGGCATATATAAGATCTTCTAGAGGAGGATTTTCCTTATGGGGATGCTGATGCAGCAAGGTTGAAATTCTGTATAAAGCCTTCTTCACAATAGATGGCACTCCTGATACCTGGGGAAGCGTATCCAGAAATTAGTACTGTATTGATGAGAACCAGAATATTCTTGCATAAACTCATTATGCCCAGACAAAAGGATCTAGAAACATATGAAATGCAAGATCAAAAACATCAGATGAAACCAAAGAGAAAATAACAACTCCTCCAAAATCTCAATGAACAATTGGTAGAACAATTATGAATACAAACACTACTGCCGTGTGGAGCAGTTGGAAATTGGAAAACCTGACGGTGTGACAAAAGAAACATGAAGTATAAGGTATAACCAACTAGAAGTTTCATTTGGGTGTTTTCCTATACTGGACACTTGGAAAGTACACAAGAATAAATTATACGTGAATACGAAACAGTACTATATTACCTGTACTAGTTCATCACTGTCCATAGCACAAGGTGGAAGGTGATCTGAAGGCAATACACGTATATTTGCACCGGTCTCACTTCGCAGTTGCTGAATAATTGTTCCACCCTTTCCAAGGAGACATCCAACTTGATTTTTTGGGACCAAAATTCGAGCAGTAACAACATCATCGGGTTCAGTCTTTGATTGTACCACACCACCACGTAGAATCTCATCTGCAGCAATCCTATCATGGATCTTAAGTAAAGCATCCTGGGCAGGACAATGGGGCTGCATATCCTCTAGCTCATTTCCATCACTATCGTCCAAATCCTGATCGGAATCATTTTTTTCAGATTGTGACAGGTAACTAAATATGATAATTACCCTTTCCTCTGCCCCAGGAATAGCATCTGCAACCCTTATCTTTGCATGGGTTTCATCTCTCAGGGTATTAACTATGTCACCTCCTTTCCCAAGAACGCTACCAATCTTCTTTACAGGACAAAGGATGCGATAAATAGTATCAATAGGTTTAGTGGTTGTAGAACCATGATCACGACCAGAATTGTGCTTCTTCCTTTTCCCATTATCAAATTGGTCATAAGTTCGTTTTCTAAAACTTCCAGATTTGTTCTTCCCATATGTCCTTCTTTCATCCATACTGCTCCAAAGAAACTTTCAAAATTCAAGATGGCCTAGTAAAATCAAATTTAAGCAAATTAGATAGACATAATTAGTAAAGAAAAACCACTCTATATGTGCATGACATGGATTATAAGAACCTGCAGTGAGATAATGACATTTCCACCAAAAAAAGAATTTCAGTAGGGAATAGTACATGGAATTAATGAAAAAATATAAAAAATACTCTTTAATGGTATTTTGTAAATGAATCTTACAATTTATAATCAATAGTGACTTATTCTCCAACAACTTCAGCTAAAACACTCAACATAATTTATGGATATAAATGTATATGTTGATGGTGGATAATTGCCACATAAATGTTCCTCGGTTCCAAAGGAGATTAGTTTCAAACAGATAGCCAACGTTTATAATATCAATTGCAATATAATGTCTCCAGTAAGTTAAAGAAACATACTGCACAAGAAAGACTAATATGGTTAAGAAATATACAATAAATGAGTGGATACATCTTTAGCAAACATAGGTGGTCATATTTGTTCCGCCAAGGCAATCTGCAACTTGGTAACAACCCATGAGATCGTCAATGTACCCATCATTTGGTTTGCACTTAGGTGCTTAATATAGACGCACTCTGACAACTGAAAAACAATGCTATGACCAGTGTGTTGAACAAAATTCATCACAACGTATTATATGCATGAGCACATGCCATGCGTGTAAATAGAAATGTTCATCAAACCAAATCAAGCAAAACATTAACACCTACAAAATCGTCTGATACCACCATGAATCGCCTTGCAATATGAACTAGCGCAAAGTTTAGTACTTCATGCATGATTAGTTTGTCGATCAAAAAGGAAGCATAGCCAAACACTTAAGAAAGAATGAAACTACTAGAAAAAAAAAGCAGTTCAAACAAAATAATGAAGAAACTAAAAAATCAAGAAAAACTAGACACCTGATCACTATGAATCAGTTATCAATCACTAGCAAAAAGAAAAATTAGGCCAAAGAAGTGGTTCACAATTGAAAATTTATAACTATTTTGCAGTTTAAGATCATTCATAAATAATTCTCAAAAGCTCAAACTTGAAAAAACTGAATAAACAAACAACACTAACAAAATTTTCAAGCATAACCTGCATATCAATATATTTCAAGGACATAGAGGTGATTGTTTGCAAGAATGGCAAGCAAAAAAAAAATTGAAGTATCCTAATACATAGTTAAACAGTGCTCATATAATAAAGATGAATTACAGAAATAGTATTGACTTGAAAGCAGATTTCAGTCCTCAATAATATTATTAAAAGGGTGTACTCAGTGCATGAGGCTCCCGCCAATGCAGCGTCGGGCGAGAGTAAATGTATGCAGTCTTACCTTTAAATATTTAAAGAGACTGTTTCTGTGACTTAAACCATGGTCTTCCATGTCACAAAGAAACAACCTTACCATTGTACCAAAGCCCGTCCTCTCCGCAATAATATTATTGCATCTTGGAATTAACATTGATTCTGTGAAATAAAAAGTTCTAAGGGCGCAAATCCGCCCAATCAAAGTAACACAAACCTATTCAGCTTCAAGGGTACAAAAGCAAGATAGCTACACGTTTCCCCAACAAAAGGCACATGCCACTAAGGACTTCTAGGTCATTATAAAAACTTTTAAACCTCATGTCTAGGTGATCAAAAAATAAAACACAGAATTAAGCAACAAACACACAGTAAGGTCCAAAAACAAGGTAGAAAGATAATAGAAAAACCTTAACTATGATGTTCAACCATAATCTGGTCAAACCAAACCTTTTC